AGTCGGGCTGCGTGGAAATGCTCTCAGCTACACTCCGACCTGCTGCGCGCAGTAACGGCGCGCTCCGCTGGGCTCCGGTAGATCACAATTCAACTTCGGGCCCTGACGGAACCGGTCTAGCCGGCCGCCTGGGGCCTCACGGGACAGGCAGGGAGACTGGGAGGGACGGAGGCAGAAGGACTGGCTGGAAATGCTCTCAGAGTGACTCCGACCTGCTGCGCGCAGCAACGGCGCGCTCCGCTGCGCTCCGTCGGACAAAAACACAACGGCGGGCCCTGACGGGACCGGTCTTGCCGGCCGCCTGGGGCATCACGGGACAGGCAGGGAGGCTGGGAGGCACGGAGGCAGTAGGGCTGGCTTGAAATGCTGTCAGATTAACTCCGACCTGCTGTGCGCCGCTGTGGCGCACTCCGATGGGCTCCGTCGGACAATAACACAAAGGCGGGCCCTGACGGGACCTGTCTAGCCGGCCGACTGAGGCCTCACGGGACAGGCAGGGAGGCTGGGAGGCACGGAGGCAGAAGGGCTGGCTGGAAATGCTCTCAGAATAACTCCGACCTGCTGTGCGCCGCTGCGGCACGCTCCGCTGCGCTCCGTTAGTTCAGAAATCAACGGCAGGCCTCACAGTACCTGACCAGACCGCCCCCTCGGTACGCAAGGAGTAGGCAGGAACGCAGGGAGGCACAGAGGCAGTCTGGCTGCGTGGATGTGACCTCACATTCACTCCAAGGTGCTGTGCGCTGCTTCGGCGGGCTCCTCTGCGCTCCGCTGTGCTCCGTCGTAACAACACAGAGTGTCGGGCCCTGACAGGCCCTGTCTAGACGGCCGCCTGGGTCCGTGTGGGGCATGCAGGCACACCGGAAGGCACGGAGGCAGTTCGGCTGCTTGGAAATGCTCTCAGAGTCGGTCCGACTTGCTACGCCTGGCAATGGCGCAGTCCGCTGCGCTCCGTCGGACAAAAACACAAAGACGGTCCCTTTCGGGACCGGTCTAGCCGGCCGCCTGGGGC